TAAAATCCTTCAGTTCATGCCTTTCTAATCATCATTTGACACTGCTTGAATTGCCTTTTAAGCCACATGCTTTTTAAAATCCTGCAGAAATTATTGCTGTTGACCACAAACTGTATTTTTCCATACTAATGCTTCAAACGCTCTGACAGGTAAACTGTGAAAGAATAAAAGCACTAATGGATTTGTCTGACTATATTATTCCTTGTATTTAAGCTTTATTTGGTCTTCTTCACAGGTTCCTCTCAGTTACTCTCACTAGTGGCTTTCAGAGGTACTGAGGGTTTATTGAAGGATTACAGTTTATAATATACCTGTATAAGCAGAGCTGCAGTCAAGTATTAAAGGTCACTGAAAACGTATTGATCTAGAGAACGCAGCAGCAATAACTCAGAGACTATCAAAACAGCCACTGCTATTTGCTTTTCCTTAACTCAGAATGGAGCAGACCATTTATAAGAAGCAATTTCTTCTCCTAATGATCCATCATTTTGCATGAAAGAGTCAACACGCTTAAGAAATCAGAAGGAAACAGAAGGTTACAACCGTCTGAAGAAGACCCAACACTCCACCCCCAAAAATGCCACAGCAGACACTGGGGAAGAGATTATGACATTAATAACGAATTCTCATGTAATGATTTTAATTAATAAAATTAAAAGAAAGTGATTATCTATTTACATCCAGAACAATGTCAAGATCTTTCTTGTAAGCTGTGGAGCTTCTTCTAATAATATTGTAATGAGGTTCACATTATATAATAGTATCAACAAAGCAGAAGTGGCACTGCATAGATTACTAATTTAAGCAAAGGGCAGGTCTCTCAAGAAGACCTTGTTAACAATGACCTACCAAAAAATATAGAAAATCCATGGTCTATGAAAATTCATATTGGAAAGGGACATATTTATCAAGATCTTAGTATGGAAATAAATTGAAAATGACCTTTAAAGTCCTGAGTGCACCTTGCTAGGACTAAGAGCATCATAGGTACTTTGGGGTTTGCAAGCAAATGTAAACAGACTCCTCAGCAGAAATGAAAACAATTCCTGTGCTAAGACACAGCTACTCCAACAGGTCAGATGGACAGAGCCAAGGGAGTCAACTGGACATAAAAGAAAACAGAGAAGAATGGCGGAACCAAGTTTTAACCTCATTGGAAGTGCACAGGAAGAGGCAACCTTCCCATGGTTACCAAAAGAAAGCAACAGTACTCTCTCCTCAGGCTGCAAAGGGCCTCACAGGCACAGAGGGAGCCTCATGCCCCGGTGTATGGAACAGCCCTGGTAACCGTGGCTGTGTGTCCCACTCACAGCTGCACATGCACCAGTTTCCTCGGGATCATCACCTGTCATCTGGGTCATGCCAGGATGGAGCAATAAACAAACTGACAGCAATGATATAGTTGCAACATACAGATTTTTGAAAGGTAGAAAAATACCTAATGGACATGCTTCTTTTGAAAATTTCCCCTTATGTAGTTGGAAGATGGAAAGGGCTTTCTACACAGATATGACATGTGCTTCCCACTCTCCTAGCAGCTTATCAGTTCACCTCAGCAACATTTTTATTCCTTTTTTTTTTGCCTCAGTTCCTACTTTTCCTTGTGAACTGAGCTTCTTTTGGGGTGATTCTCCATACAACCTCAGCAGGAGATCGAATTATTGTATGTCATACAACCTGTTTGGACTTTGCCTAACAAGCAAAGTTGTTGTTATTGTTGTGACTATTTTTCTGTATACATTACCAGGACTTCTCTAGAAAAAGAAGAACCCTGCAATGGTGATATTAGAATGGGTGGGCAGTAGATGATCCCTACCAGAAAATAGCCACAATAAAATCTTGTATTTCAGATAAACCTATGACAGCAACATAACCCACATGCTGAAACCAGATTTGAATGCCAAAAATTTCACAATTTACAGGACATTCAGCACAACGGACTAGGATAAAACCTGCCCTCAGAAGGAGTACAATCCTCATTCAGATTTGTCAGTAGTTACTGCTGTGGTTTGAAAATCTTTACATATTAGGAAAGCAATGCACTACTTTTGGATCAAAGAGGTATTTTGTTCACTTCAATGGATACACTAATTGCTTGTCCTGTTAGCATTAAAAGAAGGTATGATTGGCACTGAAGTGTGACCAGACTTCTTGGATGGTTTCAGTGTCTGGGAAGAAAAGCTCAGTAGGTTCATAAATCTAATATAACATTTTCATAATAAAACCTAGAGCAGCAATAATTGTAATAAAGTTTTACAAGATGTCCTGAGAGGAATAAAATGTTCATTATTCTCCGCACCACAGCTAAATAAAGCAAAATTAGTTTTTTCTTTAAAGCCCATAAGGAATTCAAATTAACAGACTTTGCAAAGAATGCTAGCAAAAGACTTTTGGCAGACTCTAACTATTGTCTGCTTTGATTTTAGTGACCTAACTCATCTTTCTAAACAGGCATTTTAAAACAGAAAGTTTCAAACGGCCTGCAAGACTTATGAAGAGAAAACTTCCTGTAAGTTGAAAAACTTTCTGAGAGTTGTTTTAGGGTACTTTTCCCATGTTAATCCTCATTCCCCAGAACAAAAATCTGAGCGCTAAGCTCAGTACTCATGTGAATTCAGCAGCAGAGATGAAGGGCCAGGACCTCAGGCTTCCAAATAGCCTACAGAGGTAAACCAAAGGTAGGCACAATTGCAAGGTGGCTGCAGTTAAGAATTTCCACAAGCCGATAGCTCCCTCTGAGCCCTTCTGTTGCCTCTTTAAGCCTTAACTTAGGTTATGCTTTCAGAGTATGTTAAAAACTAACAGCAGGAAGAGACACAAAACTACGCAGCCTTATGCAACTACTGTTCACAGTGATCAAACCATCTTGGCAAGAAGCTGGTGCTCAGCAAGGCAACTGGAATACTCTAAATCTCCTCCCCGTTAAATAAGGCACAGGGAACTCTTCCAACACTTAGCTGTAACATATTGCTATATACTTTATGAAGTGAAACAAAGCGACTGAAGTCAAATTTTCCAAAATATGGTAATGCAAAAAGTGGAATGCTTAGTCAATCAAAGTGAAGTCAAAGTAAATCAAAGATAAACATTCATACAGTTCTATACCAGTCACAGACACTTCAGATCTCTAATTATTATCATTTTCACTCTTCTGTCCTAGCTGCCATCCAATTCCTAGGGTATAGACCATATAGAAAAGAAGCAAATAATTATCTGACAAGTATTATATGCTATCTCTCAAATACAAGTGATTTGGATGGCTGCTCTACCCTAGCAGCCTTATCTTACACCCACCAAAAGTTATAAAGGGCCTGAATTGGAAATAAGTATCAAGCTTTTTTCTTATTTTACAGCCATAATTAGTTTTAAAATATTCCTGTACTCATGAATGATCTGATGCAAATCTTAGTACTTTTAGCTTTTCTGCAAATGGCTGAACTGTAGCCTCAGGCAAATACTCAGATATCTAAAGCAAGGCTGCCAATATTTGCATACACAAAAGAAGAACACAAAAAATTCTCCCAGAAAGAGAGGGAAAAAAAGACTGTCTTGAAAATTCTCAGTAGGTTCATAAGACCCATGTTGCTCTGGTTTTCTTCCTTAGCCATTCTTTCACTGACTTTCACCTCATCTTCTTAACAGACAGTCCTAAGGGACTACACTTGTTCCTCTTCACTTCTCCCTTTTCAGCCTTTTGGCCGTTCATTTGCAAACAATTTTGACTACTGTCTCTGCTCATAGCTCAAAAGATCCCCTTTATTCCCAGACCCATTTTCTTCTGCCCACACTGAAATCTGAGCCTTTCTGATACCTTCTCACCTCAATTTCAACGCATTTTTCCCCCTGGAATCTCATTCCTCTACCATTATGGAGTTGCCACTTGTTCTCACATTCTAGACTTTGTATTTTGTTTGCTTCTCTTCCTAGGTTTTCTCACCTGAGTGATTTAAAGACCTCATGTACACAATGTGATGAAGGCAGTGCTGTGCTAATTCTGCATTTCATTTCAGTAGCAGAAAACTGATCCATCTCTTGCCTCAAATTTATATGTTGTTCCATAATAACAGGGCTAATTTTGTAAATCCAAGCATTCATAAGACTGCTTTTTACTCTTTCCACATATCTGTGATATGCTTTGCAACATATCCACACCAGCATTTTATTTTTCTATCTGCTTAGTACATCCTACAGTAAGTAATGAGTGAAAAATGACAACACCCCTTCTGCAGGATTTTGCAGCTATAATGATGAAAGAAGAAATGTTTGCAAGGACAAAATAAAATTCTATTAAGCAAATAGGTATAGGAAGAAAAAAAATAGTCATACTTTTGAGTCTAATATCCTTTCATCAGGTCTAAGAGCCTGAATAGACACTGGGGATCAGTGCCCTTTGTTCGAAGTTTTTAAATTTAGTATTAGCCTTAAACCTGGTCAGAAGATATAAACAATTTGATAAAGATTTGATTTAAACCAAATTAGATGAATGAAGATGATTTTTTCTACACAAAGCTCCAGGTTCCCAATTATCTGTCTTTCTGCCGACTAGAATCACTTCCATTACTATGGCACATGTCTTTTTGTGGCTATCCTATTCTTCAAGTATAAAAATAAATCTCATATTTCACTGCTTCTTTTACAGAAGGTTTCCAGATATAGAAGTGAGGAAATAGTAGTTAAAACTGTGGTAGGGCTGCCTCTTCCCTTGAGTATACTTTCACCAGTTAAATGATGCTGGATTTAAATTACCCAACTGATTGGAAAAAAATAGCCCCATCATTTTTTGAGATTACTTTAAGAAATATAGAGCATAATCTACTGATTACAGTGGATTACCACTTCTCTGCATCCTTAATTTGATTATGGAAATCATAATGCAGCTGTGTGATCATCTTTTCCATCAAAGAAGAGGCAAGTGCAGAATAGCAATCTACAGTTGAAAAAGAGAGACCAACTTTTGTTTTCTGAGTAAAATTATTAAAAGAGTAGGAATTACTTCTGACCTTTAGCCTGCGATCCTGGTCTCCACTGCACAGAGAATTTACCGACACTTTAAAAGTCTTCCATGCTGGATTTAAGTTATTCATCACAACCTGTAAGTGAAAAGAAGAAAGAGAACCCTTAACATTTTCATATATCTCAGCAGAATGCTAACAAGAGCCACAATTCTCAATACACTACATTCACCAGCAAGAGAAGAAAGCAGAGCTCAGCTGGAGTTTTCAGAACTACATCCAATGAGATATGAGCCCTTGAGCAGTTTCCAACAATCTTCCTCTGGAAAGCCCCCAAAAAGAGGAGCAGAAATGGAGTGGGAAATGGACCCATACATTCCCACAGATGATGCTACAGACATTGCTCTGGCACTGCCATGCCTCAGTGGGAGATAATTCACGGGGAAAAGGTTGTAGAACTGAACTGGAAGCAATGGAAGATGTGCAGGACTGGGCAATGGGGATGGGCAACATCAGTTTACAGGCACATTGTTTGCCTTGCTAGGAAAACTATGGAATCCCTAACAGGTTTATAACCACTAACACCTGCCACACCTTTACCCTATACACCTAAATGCCATTTTTTAACACAGTCCCAGTCATTACCATGGAGCAATAATGTTACTGGGTGGTAAAAAAACAAATGTAAAGTGCCCAGATTACAATCATTTTAGCACCAGAAACCTGTGAGGAGGTGGGGAAGAAGCAACACAGTACTAATGGGAAAATATGATACATTCTGTAGCCTGGTTTCGGCTAAATCTAGTGTTTATATCTCCTGACCTTCCAACACAGTATCTGCTGGTTTAATTAGGCTTTGACTTCATCTCCCTTTACTGTAAGATGCATAAGTCAAGACCTGATATCCATTAGTTAATAGTAACACTAGAGTGTAATACTAGAAAGTGTTTTTAAGTGTGGGTGTTTGCACACCTAGATTTAAAACCACTTCCCTTTATGACATGGGAAGCATAAACTATGACTCCTGACAGCCATCTGTTGCCTTGGAAAGTAAATTCAACTCTATTCCTTACCTCAGTCCTGTGAACAAGTTGTTGGGTTGCATCATCATTCACCCGAAAAATCTCCAAAAAAGGATCAGATTTGCTGAAAAAATCCTAAAATAAAATTTAGGACAGGTTACTCTTGGGGCTTCTTTTTCTTTGAGCTTTTCAGGCACAATGCACAGGTGCTTCCCTGACTGCTAATGAAGAGTCAGAGTAGTTTTAGTTTTGGTGTTTCTCAGCAATATATTATTCTTGTCCTTGTCTCACAAGGATTCCCGTTGTTGCTCTCAGTTTGACTATTTAATCATAGCATGCAAAACTGTAAAATGTCCTTTTACGACCCCTTTCCTTCTTAAACTCAGCCCAGCTTCCTGAGCATTAGCTCCATCATCCACCTAGCTTGTTTCTTTTATGTCTCCATACCTGTTTGGTCTTTTGATACCAGTTTTCTAACACATTGCACTTCGAAGCATATTCCACACTGGGGTTGAATTTCACACTGTTCACCTACCTCCGAAATCAGAAGTTAATTGGCCAAGACATTGTGCTGCTACCAACTAACACAAGTACTGTCAAAATGGATTAGAGCTGGTTAGAGAAGCAAGTCCTCTTCAGGGTGTGGTAACAAACCCATGCTACGGTGACAAAGATGACAGAGCAGGGTAATGAAGGAAATAACCTGATATCTCTAGGCAAATCTCTGACAGACACTGAGGTTCACATTCACACACTGCAGAACACCTCCTCCTAGTCTTGTATCCAGCTAACAACCCTGAACCTTCTTACACAAACCTAAATTAAGTTGCTTTCTATAGTGCTGCTTCATTTGACCACAGGCCCTTTTGTTTCAACATCTCATTTACTCTGGACATGCTGGCTGGAGGGGGGAGAAGAGGAACTGGCTGTTAACCCAGCAGGGGGAAAGCTTCCAATTTCTAACTGTGCCATGCTGAAAGAGCAGGATTTAAAAGCACTAAGTCCATTTCCTGTAGTTTCAACTCCCTTCCTAATTTTCCTCTTCAAAAGAGCCACATGATTAATTTTGTGCATATGAATATTATTCTTGTCTATTGGACATATCCAAAACTACAAAACCCCATGTCAATTTGGGGAAGTGAGAAATTCTGTTCAGTATCCAGGTGTTTCTGTGATAGTGTTAGTGTAAAAACTACTGTAATATATATAAAAAATATATAATAATATATACATATACACTCTAAAATATATAATAATTACATATATATATATATATCTAGAATTCTACAAATTTCTCCCCACCAAATGTCCCCCATACCTATTTTTGATTAGCTGCATGGCCATTGGTTTGGGAACAACTTTGGATAAGATGCTAGCCAAAGTCTGTGCCTGGTAAAATTTATTTTTAGGACATTTTTACAATTCCACAAGTTCATAGAATTCAGGGCTTTGAAAAGGGACACTTGAATTTGAATGCCTGAAGAAGAAAATTGGTCCCTATGGACCACAAAGCCTTGAGCAAGGCTCAAGGAACCTAATGTCATGTCATACCCTAAAAATGACATAATGTTGTGTTGAGAGTGCTGTTTTGTCATTGATCTGCTTCTTTACTTTCTAGAGAAAACTTAATGGCACATTTAGCAACTGATGGGAAGATTTATTTGTTAAATCCTATTATGGGGAACATGGAACTATATGTTTGAGCAAAAGTATGTTTAGAGCAAAGCTGTATGTTTGGCTATTTGTTCTAGCTCCATGGTAAACAGGACATTTTATGTCAAACTGTGTAAAACCAGTGCAAAATTCAACTAAGTAACTCCAGGTTTTGCCTCAATGTCCTGATGTAGATTCAGTATCTGGACTCTACTCAAAATTTGAAATTGCTAGTGTATAGGGGGTTCTGGTGATCAAATTCTGCCAGATTGTCAGTTTATAGGAAAGAAGACAAGCAGAAAGAGGGGGTGCTGATTTAATCATAATGACACAAAAATCCAGAGCACATAGGATTAAAAAAAATTGAGCTGCCTCTTCTCACACGGAAGCATTCTGATTGAAACTGATTAAAAGCTTAATGTTAAGGGTTTCTTTATCAAACACAAATTTGGTAAGTTATTTGAAAGGAAATGCCTCAAAATGATACATCCAAAGAACCCTGGAGTGCAAAAGAATTCAGAAAGGAAGTCAAGATTTCATTTAAGGCTCAAAATATAGTATCATTCCTAGCTGAGTATCATAAAGGTACAACAGCACATCAGCGCAAAAGAAATAATTTTTAATAACTGGTTTTAACTACCAAGATAATACCACATAAAAGGAAAGATTGTAATGCTGGATGGTGGTTTATATCACTCCCCCTCCTTGCAAAAACAAGGGCTAATTACTTTCAGAATTGAGGTACAGACAAAAAAATCCTTCTCTATTGGAATTGCTTTGTAACAAATAGAAATTCGTAGCTAAAGAAACATTTGCTTTCACAATTAACATTTTTCAGTTGTTATGCTGAATCTAATATCTTTGCATTATCCCCCAAGGATATCCTCTGAAAGAAGAATAGCTGCAATATATCCTGCTATTTTAATAATATTTAAATGATTAACATATTATATTTGCTAGATGTATAATGCACATTGTTCTTTCAGTATGTGCAGCAGTTACACAGTAATAACATAAGTACATGGCCCAAACTTGAAAAATTTAGCTATATCTTTTTCTAACCACCTAGTCTGACAAATTTTTAGTAGATTAATTTCAGAGCACAACAGTTTTTAAAGTTCAGGATTGGGGATCAAGTCAAAGGTCCCTTAAAAAAGGGCTAAAGTGGTCAAAAACCTAGAAGTTTGAATATTATTCAACAGCTAAAAAAGGCCATTTGAGGAGGGTTTTTTTGGTAGTAGTTTAATACCAGGGAACTATATAAAAAAAGCAGTATTAGCTTGTATTTTGCAGATATTTGCTGCATAATATTTCCCAAACAATGGTAACTGCTTCTCTCAGAACAGGAGAAGCAGTTTGCCTGCCTCAGTGCCCATAATTTATTATAGCTATCATAAAAAACATAGCTGCTTGTTATGGTAATTGTGACACAGCTATTAATGCAATAAAACCTTTCCAAAAGTTATTGTTCCACAGCGAAGTGTTCTCAGTGGATCTCTTGAAACAAAGACGTGCCATTTGAGCTGACAAGGCTTCAATAAAACATGAAAAAGCAGTTATACCTTCCAAATAAGCACTGTAATAAAAAAATAACTGTTATTTCTGCTAAAGTCAGTTAACTAAAGGCAACTCTCATATCCATCATTTTCCTATCATTTTCACTGAATGTTTCAGCCACTCTAGTAGGAAAAAATTATTAGGTTCTGTTTTGTAGCTTCCCTAAAATTCTTGCAGTTTTATGTCAAGAGGAAAAAAAGCACGCTACAAACATATCCTGGCTGTTAAATCTTATCAACAAATTTTGTTTAGTTGTTCACGTATTTTTCCTTAGTGTCGGAAATACATACACTTAAGGAACCCCATCTGGATTCTCTTTCAAGGATCTCCTTTAAGGGATGAAGGAAGAATATTCCTGCCCATTCAAGATGGTAATGGATGGAAAGAATTTATTTTTCTTTTTATCCTGAGAGCACATACATGACATCCCCCTACCCCTTCCATTATCCACATGTTGTGAGGCATTAGGATTCTACTTGTCTGCTGCTACTCCCACAGCTACCAGTGCAGGAACCCCAGGGTGTACAAAGGTGACCTCACATCAGAGCATGAGTGACAGCTGCCAGAGGCTTCCTTTGTTTTTTAGGAGACTCCAAGGCCAGTTTAAACCCTCAGTTTGTGTCTCTGATGTTACATCTCTAACATCAGGTGTTACTGATTCAGGTGTTCACTTCTCTGAATGGGGAGAGGCATGCAAACCCATGCTTTGGATTTTAAAAAATGGACTCTTCTCAATCCTTTGATTTTTTTTTCCTTTTTGTGACATCAGAGCACTCATTCTTTTTCACCAGTGGCTGAACTATGTGATTTAAGTAATTTCAAACCTTAATAAAAATAATTACTAGAAGTGCCTTGCATTTAATGATGTCAAAGTTCATTATAAGTCATACTTTTATTATAGAAGAAGTAAACCAAGCTTCAGCCAGGTTTAGAGCCACATCTTTAGCCGGAGGAAATTGGAAGACTTCTTTCAAAGCAACAGGCTTCCAGAGATTTTCATCAGTTAAAGAAAGGAGTTTGGATTCAGATAAGACATGATGAGTCACTGCTTGACTTGAACACTGCTCATCCAAGAATTCTGTATTAGATGAAGCCCACCTTGACTGGACATGTTAAAATGGCAAGAATGACAATACTGTTGCAGTATTTCAGACTGCTCCTTCTCACCTTATTCCCACAAAGTGTTTCAATCATTCTCTAAAACTGTTGCCCAGACACCACTGACCTGGCTCAGAATTGCACTCTGGCAGTATCCTTTAAATTTATACCAATAAAAGCTAGAAGCAATACTAATATTTAAAGCAGATTACATTTTGCATTTGTGGAAAAGCAATGTCTAAGTCTTATTATGTTGTTTATGTCCTCTCCTTTTTCCTAGATATGACAGCATGTGGATCAAGAAAAAACTTGTGTAAAAATTTGGGAATTACCTCCAAAGATACCTGCCTAAAGAAAGGTTGTTAAATTTACATTTTGACACCTAAATAAATTATGCCATTCAAAACCACTAAGACTCCAGCATCTCTGAAAGAGGAAACTAATTTATCATTTAGATGAGAAGCAACTTCAGGTTCGGATCATTTATGACTGTTAATGATCCTGAGAACGGTAAAATTTTATAAATTTTATTTAAGTTATATGCCCGTACTATTGATCTTTCTGTGTACTTTCTGCTTGCCTGAGATCTTCCGGTAGTTTCAGCTGAAAATATTTTTCATAAGTTACAACCCAAGTTTGAAAACCTGATGTATATGTATCCAAAAGTAGTCTCACTGATGTGATTTTAACTGACCCTCATGTCAGATGTTTACAAGAACACACTTGGGGCATCACAATCCTAAACCTTTGTACAGAGTTGCCATGTGCTTCTAATAAGAAGCAACTTCATATATATGAAAGTACATTCATATATAAGAAAGGGCTATATACCTCAAAGAATTCTATGCCTGCTGTTGCACTGAAATAACAGAAAGTGGTACAAGCAGTCATCAGGGCTGTGAGTTGAGATGCTTATTATATGTAAATTTCTAAACAATAACATTTTCAGAAAGAGGTACTCCTTATAATGTTCAGCAGTGTTTGAGTCAATGTAAAGTTTTCTTCCTAGAGAGGGAAAAGGTTTTCAACAAATATGCAAGTATTTTTCTCACATTTGAGCTACATTTTGTCAAACAAAATGTGTATCATGACCAAGCTGTTATGAAGTTTTCTAGCTGTATTTTAGGAAACTTCAACGATAACATCATTGACTACTCACAGAAAGTTCACTTCTCTAAACACTTCTGATCTGTGACATTTTACATAATTAAACTGTCTTGGTTGTACTGTAATTAACTTGTCTTGGTTTTAATTAGATTCCCTTGAGTTTTTTTTTTTAATTACTTTGCAACTCAAGGAAAGCCTCATTGTGCACATTCATCTGAAAACCCTGGTATGTTTAATAACACAAGGCAAAAAAATATCTGTCATGGAAAATCTCATCAAATTATATTTGCAGGCATCCTTATATCTTTCAGAAAGGTTAATACCAAGCAGCTTACCTTGTCATCCAATTTCCGTGCACTGAATGAAAGTTCAACGTAGTCATCATTGCCAGACAGTTCCTCAGCGATCACCTAAATGGAAAGCTACATCTGAGTTGTGCATGGTGTAATGGAAGGGGAGAACAATGCCATTTTTCGGTGTGTGAAGACTGCAGACCCCATTTAGGAAACTGAAATGTGGAACAAGTTAATGTGTTTCTCTTTGCTGACTGGAAGGACAACACCTGGGTCAGCCCATGGACCTGAAACACTTTGTGTAAGCCTTGTCAAACACCTGTCAATGGACAGACATTCACATCCACCAGGGACCCCATTCCTCTGACCAAGTACTCCTCCTCAGAGTGGAAAACAGAGAATTCCACAGTCTCAGTGTCCAAGACGACAAAAATGCTCTACAAGAGTTGGATTACTCAGGTCTAAAGCCCAATTATTTTCAGGCCACTTCAGCATCATTTGGCAAGATAAATGAAAAAAGGAGTGAAGTCACCTGGCATTAGTTGCCACAAAAGGGACATTTACAGCAGGAGAGCTCTCCTGGTATAATTTTTCTGCAATAGCCACATTGGCAAAACAATTTGCTATAGATGGAGTCAGAAACAAGTAATCCTAAAATAATATAGCATGATTCTTTCAGATGGTGTAAGCTATATCAATAATGGTATCAGTTATTGTGCTGTGCAACATTATAAAAAAACCCAACAGAACCAACTAAACCAGTTTCCTAAGTAAGCCATTAAAATGCCTCAGGGGAGAGAAGGCATTAACCAAACATGGGATATTTCACTGAAAAATGGTCTTTGAAACAAACCACATTATATTCAATTTGACAGCATTACAACTTTTTTTCCCTTTTGTAAATGTTCTGCCCAGGGACTAAATCTCCCAAAAGAACCTATTTCCTGGGTATTTCATGTTCATGACCACACAAATGGCAGCCATGCCAGCTTCCCAGATAGGTTCTGACTGCCACCACCACCTGAAGTCCTTTGAGGAGTTGCTGGGTAAACCCAAAAATTTGCCAAACTGGCTTGGCAGCAGCTACTGACTGCACCCCAAAACATCAACCCATCAGAGGTGCATATGGCACCTCTCATGAACCTATTTCAGAAAGGGCAGCAGCTGCCAGAGGCAAGAGACACATAGGAAGGAGAGGTAGGTGGTCTGCAAAGCCACCCTAAAGAAGATCCAGAAGGAGGTATGGAGAAGGCCAAGCTGTGGGGACACAGCTGGAGATTCACTCTCAGAAGGAGGTGCTCCATGCTGGAGGAGGCATCTCTGTGTACACCCTCAGGTAACACCCATTCTGGAGCAAAGATGCCCCTGAAGGCTGTGTGAGTCTGGAGCAGAACTAAAAAAATGAGTGAAAAAAAACCTCAAAGAGCAGAAGAAAAAAAAATAAATAAAACCCAAAACAAACAAACAAAAAAACCCCAAAACAACAACCCCCAAAAAAACCCAAACCACTGTTTTTTGTTCCTGACCTGTGTCACACAGCATCTCATCAAAAGGACTGAGAACAACATGAAGTGAAGGCAAAGGGAGTGAAGACCATAAAAGAGGCAGGAGAGGTGTCAGAAGTGGAGCTGACTACAGGGAAGGGGCAGGAAAAGTATTTTCTCTTGGAGTTTTTTTTTTTGTCCTGTTTGTTTTTCAGTAGTTAAAAGTTTACTTTGACTGGCAATTCATTAAATTAAGTAAAATTCCCTGAGTTGCGACTATTCTGGCTGTGACACCTCCCAGCAGTGAGCTGAGGTGTTTCTCCATGCAATATACTCACATGCAGCTACACAGAGGCACAGAGGCTTAACTGGGCATTAAAGTACCACAGGTACACATGTGGTGCATCACATCTTCCAGGCAAACATCAGACTGCTGGAAATTTGACCCATGGAGTCTGACACATTTCTCTTCCATGTAGTCTGATGGTTTAAAAGGTCTGGTTAAGCTGTGTATGACCAACAATGCTCTGGGATTTGCACACCAAATTTCACTAGTATTTTTTCCTGAAAATAATGAACCCGCTCTTACAAGGTTTATGGACTTGCAGCTGGAGAAGCAGAGCAATGTTCTTTTTTCTTCCCACAGCCATATTAGAAAATTGCGTGGATGAGACATTACACACTCAAAAGGCCAATAAAATTCCAGCAAAACTTGCTAAGATAGAAATTTTCAAAATCTTATGAAAAACCCATAATTCACTATACTGAAGGAGTTAGGAAACTAGTGTTTCTAACTTCCATATTTGACGGACACCTGGTATGTCCCCAGGTCTAGAAATAAAGATAAATAATCAGTTTTTAATTATTCTGTTGAGACAACAAATTTTTCACACAGTATTTTTTGTCTGGGTTCAGTTTTTTCCCATTCAAGTGAAGTCAACTTGCTCTTTAATACTGCTGGTCGAAAGCCAAAGCACGTAACTAAGGTCCATATTACATGGTTATCATCCAGTGTGAGGCCAGCAGGGACTATTAAGTCATTTTCTCTCATCTTCTGTTTATCACAGTGATTTAATTTTTGCCAGAACACTCCCCTAACAAACCTAATGATTTTAGTTGTACTAGAGCATTTGTGTTTTCATAAGACTAAACCACTTTGTGTACCTCAAAGAAGAACAGAAGAGAGGTCCAGAACACCACAGGGATGTGTGAGATGAAGTATGCCCAGATTGTCCCAGCAGGAAAACCACACCAAATTATTTAGGGAACAAAACTCTCTCCTGGTTCTATTCAGCCAGAGGAGTGAGGGAAACTCCTTTCCAACCCCAGACCAAAACCAAGTTTACTGTATGCACTCAAGCAAATCAATTCCCAGCCAAGCACCAAGGAAGATACCTAAGAAATCAATCTCCCTAGGCTCTCAGAAAGTATCTCACAGTCTGCTGTCTCTTTTGTGGCTGAAGGCAGAAAAAAATCCAGAAAATCAAGCCAGAAGAAGCCCATATGGCAAATTACACATTAAGGAAAAAAAAATCCTTCTCGATCCCATGAGGCAATAGAGCAGAGACTCCCAAAGCAGAATATTTTATTACAGCCCTCATCTTAATGCAGAGCTGCAAAAGTCACAAGCATGTCAGGTTCAGTGCAGACAAGATTGAGCTCCTAAGTGAGCCAGCATAGAGAAAGATGAAAGAGAGGTAATACAGTGATTTTCAGTTTTCAAAATACACATGGGGCTGAAAATCCAGTCCTTAGTTGCATTACAACACATCTAAAACTAATCACATTGAACTTTTTTTTTTCCTGAGAAACTGGAAAAAGCCCAAGGGAAAAGAAAGATGAGGCTCCTTTATGTGCCAAAGCAGGTAAAAATTAATCTCAGAAGGTTCTAGTCCTTCAACTAAAAGTATTCAAGCAGCAGAAGTTACTTGCTGTCATCCAAGTACCTTGAAAGTAGTACTAAGTATTGTGACTTTTTTACAAATCATACATTATTTGTTGCCATTTCCTTAAAACAAGGAGATTTGTCAGAAACAGTGCAAGTCATCAAATAAAAAAAATTAAAACACTTCTCAATCAAGGGATTTTGGTGGCTTAGCAGGATGCTTTTAGAGAGAATTAATCACTTTGGATATTTTTAAGTAACATGAAAACAAAAGCATATTTAAGACTGACTTACTGTTATAGATGACTTTCCTGCTGTGTTGCCATGTTTGAGCAAGGACTTGGAGAGCTTCCTCTGAGAAACAATCTGCACAAAAATAAAAACAAAGGGGAAAATAATTAGAATCTGTAGTAAATACGTGGTTTATTGTGATTTCAGTTTTATGTTGCTTTCTTTTCCTTTTGTATCAAGGTACTTTCTCAGTCCATGATCAGAGTTAACACAGTAAGACTAAAACCAAGAAGAAAGGTCCCCTAGGAAGCCTGCACAGGATGCAATGGAAGGACAAAAAAAGCCATTGGCGTCAAGCAGAATGGGGAGAACACAATTCACTGCATTGAACAGAATAGTGAGAAACACTTAAGATTTTCCTCAAGTCTTGCAATGATGGTGACAAAGGACAGAAGTAAGGTTTAACTGGACTTGAAAGACATTGAGAACTGTACAAGCGAATCTATCAGAGATACCTCCAAAACTCAACTCATTAATTTTTATTGGAAACTGAAGTCCACTTACAATGAGGAGGAATTTATTTTATCTCAAAATACCTACAACTCTAAAGTCAGGGCAGAAGCAACCAAGCAACTTGCCCCATATTTCAGCTCCAAAATTGTCTTCTTTGCTTACCACATACCAGACCTCCCCTAAAATGCCGCATTATAAACAAATTTGGTCATTAGGCACATTGTACATATACCTCAAATAAATGACATCAGAGCGACACTGACAAAAGATGTTATTTGCCAAATCAATAACATCTGAAACATTTAAAACCAGACCAGTAAAAGTATTAGAAAAAGAAGAACCCTTACAATATTGCAGAACTGCTAAGCTACAGTGTTGTTCCAGTGTATTAGTCAGCAGTAAAGTTAATGCTGTATTAATTTATTTAGTTATTAAATGGAAAATTTCAAAATGTAGAAAGATGTAAAGGTAACTTGAAACACTTCTTAGAAATTACAGTATTATTTGTAATCTGACAAAACTGTAGTACAATTGTGTTGTGCAGATACTGAGCAAAAGACTGATTGTGTCCTAAGAAAAACCCTAACCTCCTGAATATGACTTTTATACAAGAAGTAGTCCTTTCCACTTTTCCACATCCAACAGTACTTGCACAACTTCATCTGGACAGCTGCTCTAAATGATCCACAAATAGACATCCTTGTCAAATATGCCAAAATATTAGTTGTGAAAGAAAGGCAGTCACCAAGCAAAAAGGAGAGTTCCAAACCCTTCATGAGAGTCCTGGGCATCATACAAATTTCAGCAATAAACCACAACAGTAGGTAATGGCCAGACCTTAAATGCTCTGAGTAATGCTAAGTCGCAGCCAGACAAAAAACGTGCTGTGAGACAGGAGTGAATAGGATGCACATTTTAGCCCAACATAAGTGTGGGGAAGTATGTTTGTCCTGCCCATCAATTTGCTGAATTGAACAAAAAATCAGAAGCTGCACCTCAGATTATTCTCAGCTACAGTTGTAATAGATGCAGTAAGACAGAAGCAAGTTTTAAACAGGCTTTAAATGTGAGACAGGAGAACCACCACAAGACAGGACAGCACATCTGGAATCACTGTGACAAGCTTCTTGTTTCTATTGCAGCTATACTTGACAGGTATGTCTAATCAGTTCTTAAAGAACTTGAAGGGAAACATTCTCCTCTGGAAATTTATTGTATTCTTGATCCTTATGTAAATATATTTTCCTAACAGCTAATCCAATTCTCTGCAGTTTAAGTCCATTATTTCCATCTAATGCACCATAAATAGGTAAAACAATCTTTTTCCCTTTTTCAGGCAATCTTTATATCTGACGACTATTACCAGCTCCCCACAGTCATCTTTACTACATAACCCGAATTTGTTCTCTATTTCCTTCTTGACCAGATTTCCTAGCCCTCAAACCATTCCTTCTACTCTCAGATGAGCTTTCATGGACTGACTCATAAACACTCTTAGAATAATGCTCACAATTGGGCATAATGGCCCCTGTCCTTCCCATGAGAAGTAAGAAGAGCTTCTCATTGCAAGGCTGATACACTCCAGAATTACATTTGCCTTATTACAAGAACACCATGATACTGTTAACTAATGTTCATAATAGGACCATTTCAGATTGCCAGCTGCATTTTTGCAGCTGGCTATTACTTAAATGAATAATTTAACACTCCTATTTGGACAGTCTTCCGTAACACTATCTGTTGCCAACATCTCACTCAATTTTCCAAACTAACTTTTGGATTTCAACACTAGTGTTGGTCAGTGGCTACAGCAGACAGGACTACAAGTAAGATGACAGTATTGCTAGGATTTAGCAGGTTTTTTTCTCCCCTAGAATCTTGGAAATAACTGTTTGTGTGACCTTTTAAGTCATCCCTACATTTATTTTCTTGCCAGCTAAACAGGTTTAAGTACAAATCTTTGCACTCCTGTGAACTGTGGGGTGCAATTCAAAAGATCTTGTTTGAGATTCTCAGACAGGAGGTAATACAGACAAATGACAGATTATTCTTAATATATAATTAAACTACAGGTTTTGTACCAGCCAGACAATGAATTATGGCAGCTGAGAAGCAGGGCCCATTTATCTCCATGGCCTCTCCTCCTCCCCCAAGATATTCAGGCAACTTCGTAAAATACATTAAGCTTTTCCACTGAAAGCTGTATTGTCCATCAGAAACCTTTTCAGACATCTTATATATACAGAGCCATGGTATGAGACAGAGCTTGGGTGGGAACATGGGCTAGAGTAGCCTTCTTTAGAGACAGTAGGACTTCTCCCCCTGAACTACCCAAACTTTTCCAGCTCCCTTTGCTGCTTTCCAAAGGGTCACAGCTTTCACGAGGCATTGCACAGCTTGGGAGCCCCTGTGCAGGTGGCAGATAGATGGCTCAAAGTTCCAGAGAAGATAATTTAATCTGACGTTCTCATTAGTAGGCTGCATTAATAACTCTCGCTCTCTAAGCCAGAAGCATCATTCTGACACAGTAAGCACTCTGCATATGTAAATATGTGTATTTGGGTGCAAGTGTTTACCAGTTGTTAATTAAGTGGCCACTAAAACCAAGCCTCCATCTGGCAACAATGTGCCAACATCGTTGCCTCAAACTGTAATTGTAATAACTGTAAAGGAGTCTGTTTTCCATAGCAGTAAATTGACTTTTTTGTTCATGCACTGTACAAAATAGGTCTCACCGGTTTAAAGAACCACTCCTATGGAACCTGCCATTAATTACCTGTCATATTTTTGTTAATGTCTCAATGCAAATCTTCTGAACATTATTATACAAAGCATTTACTGACCTGGTTGTCAGACAGCAAGTCCTAAACAATGATAACTTGAGGGACTAGCAAGCATTAGTCTTAGTTCAGAGTTACCAAGACAGCTGAGCTGGCAAAATGTCTTACGAGGAGGTAATTGACTATAGGTCTTTAATTTGTCAGGAGTCTTTGGCTTGACTCCAAAACCTTGCAATTTAAAACTTCTGCTTCAGAGAATAAAAAGAGTTTGTCCAAAGCTAGTGTGAAGAAGTGCAGAAAGTAAATGTCTCTCTTCTTTCTAGAACATTGATAGCAGAACCCAGTTCAGCCATAAAAAAACACATTACATTTCCAGAACATGTATTTTCACGAACATTTTATTAGAAACATGAGCTACCAGTCAGCAAATGGATGTAGAAAACAGTCCTTGTTCATGCTGGAATAGAGCTAATTTTCCTCTTAGTAGCTGGTACAGTGCTGTGCCTTGGATTTAGTATGGGAATAATGTTGATAACACATTGATGTTGTGGTTGTTGCTAAATAGTGCTTACTCCATATCAAGGACTTTTCAGTTTCCCATGCTCTGCCAGAGAGGAAGTGCACAAAAATCCAGGAGGGAAGACAGCCAGGCTTGCTGACCTGAACTAGCCAAAAAGATATTTCATACCATAGACTGCCATGTTCAGTATATAAATGGGGGAGAGGTGGCATCAGCCAGCAGGTGGTAAGTGATTGTACTATGCATCACTTCTTACTCTTGGGTTTTGTTTATTTTCTTTCTCTCTCATTTGCATTACAGCTGTTGTGATAATAATAATAAAATTTTATTTTGTTTCAATTATTAAACTGTTTTTTTCTCAAGCCATGAAGTTCACCTCTTGTTTCTGATTCTCTTCCCCATTGTGGCAGACACAGGGCAAAGGGGGTGTAAGCAAGCAGCTGCATGGTGCTTTTGTTGCCAGCTAGGGTTAAACAACAACAATCCTTTGTTCAGTGTGGGGGGATCGTACAAGGACCAGACCTCAGAGATATTAAAGGTGAGACTAAGAAAATTGAAGTCAAGTTCATTTTCAGCTACATACAAACTACTACCCAGTTCTGGCCTAAGAGCACCACATGTCCAATAAAAATGTCATACTAATATGTTTGCATAAGGTGGAAATAAGAATGTAAAAACCATTGCTCTGTTTCTGAGAGGGAGGATATGCACATGAAGTTATTCGTATTTATCAGATATGCAATCATCTCAACAGAACATCATCTCAGCTGGATTTCTGGTCTGTAGTGATAAGGGATGTCAGTCCTGTTGTAAGATGGGAGTGAGAAATTCCCTTGAAGATGATCTTAATTTTCTTTATTACATACAAGCCCTTATAGGTTAAGGACAGATACTCAATACTGTAGAAAAATCTGGACTTACATCTCCATTTGATCCTATTTCCAATTTAAAATAGCTAAAAGAGGCTGTGCACTTTTTTTTTTTTTTCATTATTTTAAAAGTATGAACAGATGCAAGACTTGAGATAAAAGCACCAAGGCGCTGACACCAGCTGTGTACCGAGCATTGCTCAGCAGTCACTCAGAGACAAGGACTCTGATGAAGGTTTCCTCTCTCCTGTGCCTGAGTCGTGACTAATCAGCACTGTGTAAGATGAGCTGTGAAATATAATGACTTGTTTTACCTGGCTTGTTTAAGAAACTTTTAAAATGTCTTTCTCTAGGTAGAAATGTCTTTCTTAACCAAATATAGGGATAACTTTCAGTAATATCATGCAGAATTACCAATGCTCATAAATTGAGCCAACAAGTTTTCAATATGGC